AAAAGTCAGATGGTAAGAGTGTGGCTTAGTGTAGAAAAATTTAAGTAAAAAAAACATTGATTTGATTTAATTATAATTTGGTTCGTGTTCATTACATAATACTACTTATACAGTATTATACAATAATACTGTTCCAGCTTACATACAAATTCAACTTTAAGGACAGACTTTGAGAACAGAACTCATTCTTAAACTGGGGACTACCTGTAGTAACAAACTAACACTAACTATATAATACAAGGGATGTATGTTGAATATTCATCTCTGCTTCTGTTATGTTTCCTTCTATGGTTATTTTTACAGGGAGAAAAAAGGTTTAATGGTGTTTACCTTTAGTGTTTGAAAGCCAATTAGTTGCTCAATTAGCTGTTGTTGCAAGCATTCAAAATACAGATTTCAGTTCAATTTCCAACTCTAGAAATATGGCTCATTGTGGCTTTTAAAATTATGTATTTATTAATATTTATATATGCTGCCCATCTCACTAGATAAATTATTCTAGGTGGTGTTACAAGTAAAAAAACTATAAAATCTTAGCAAAAATATACACATTAAAAACTACAAAAGGTTTTTCCTTCCTGAACTCATTAAAGAAATTAAAATTTTTATGTAAATAGAATTTTAAATCAGATATCTGATCTGAGATATAACTTTTCCAGTCTGCTGCTTTCACCTTTCTAGATTTTGTTTCATTCATTGCTTTATAGGAACACTAGAAACTTAAAACTGGAGATTGCTGACCTTCCTGTTTTAATTCACAGGATTATAAACTTGCTTTTGGCTCTCATCAAGGGAAACCTAGTTCTCAGTGGAATGGAGGTACAGCTACTATTGTTTATAGCCCTGGTGAAGAAGTGTGGGGGATAATATGGAAAATGAATACTAGTGATTTATATTCTCTGGATAGGTGCGTTGCATTCAGTTCTTCCACTATCAATTTATGCACAGAGCTTATACTGTTAAGATGTTATTCTGGATGTTTGTTGTACACTTTTCAAAATTTGCCCAAGCTAAAAAAATTCTAATTATAGATGTTCCTATTATAAGTATCAAAATAAAATATTACAAATTGGTCAATATAATTGAACTTGCAAATGTAATCCTAGTCCTTCCCATGATTTTGAGAAATAATCTAGGGCTTTATTGATTTATTTTATTTACATCCCACTGTTCTTCCCAGATTTCCAGTGATACCCATAGTATTTCTGCCTCCAATTTTATCTGCGCAGCTACTCCTGTGAAGTCAGGTTGAGAGATAGGCACCTGATGAGCTTCTGTGGCAGAGTGTAGAACTGAACCTGGATCTTCTCAGTTCTGGACCTAACTCTATTTAATCCATTTTGAAAGCATGCTTGATTGGGCCACAATTAACAGAAAATGACAGGAGGAAATAATTATCATCCTTTTGGTAAAGTTGGTATCGATAATTAATATTGCCTTGTGACATCTGGAAATTAATTTGTGTGAACTTTTTGTCTTAACTGGAACTGGGTTGTGTGTGAAGTTTGCAAGCTTCTAGAAGTAAAAAATGTCAGGTTGGTTATGGATATAACTTCCATAATTGCTGCAGTTGGCCATGCTGTTGCAACTCCTGTTGTAGTACAAAACATCTGGGGAGAATCAAATTATCTACCTCTGTTCTAGACCCACATTGACTATACAGAAATAAACAAAAGTTTGAACAAAAGTTTGGTTATTAGCAGACTATTACATCATAGGATTCCAAGGAGCAATTCTTAAAAAAATGCTATAGAAGATGTTTCCTTTCTTTTGTTCTTCTATCTGCATTTAGCACTTTTATTGAGCAGCTGAGAAAGCTATTCGCTGGATGCAGCCTTAGCTACCCAAAATTGGACATTGTTGGCATTTTGAGTTTCAAGAACTACTGAAAAGAGTAGTCTTTTAAGTCACTTATAATGGGGTGTTACATAATGCTTTGCTAAATAAATAGCTGCTTTTAGGAGATAAATCAATATACTTGCTCTCATTTTAGTTATTTGCTTGACATGGCATTCCTTATTCTGTTTCAGGCAAGAAGGAGTGGAAAATGGCATTTATATCCCAATTGAAGTAATAGTTCGGACTCAAGATGAGAAAGTAGTTAAATGTCGTAGTTACCAGATGGATGACTGTGTCCATGATCTTCCTTCTCCACAGTATAAAAAGGTATGATCCTTTTCCAATTCCAAATGGACTAAGAATTCACTTCCCTCCAGCAGTTCATCTAGAACAATGTGCATAATGTCATAATTTAATTAAGTGCAATGGAAAGGAACCTAAGGAACAAGTAGTTGGTTTCACATAAAAGGTGAAACAAATTTCAATACTGTTGCAGTTAACTAATGTGTGGATGTGTTTATGACATAATTATCAAGGGTATATGTATAATTTGTTAAGTGTATAGCTGGATAGACTGATTAATAATAGATTATAATAAATTAATAATTTATTGCAAGCATATGCTGTTCATATGCTGTTCCAAAATAGTTTACTTTGGCATTGTACTTCAACTATTTGCAGTGTAGGATTTTTATTCAGAGTAAACTATAAAAGACTATTCCATGTTTACTACAGGTTCTCTTGAGCTCCTGGCCTTTCTCTCTCTTTCTCTCCTTGCGTCATAACTATGAAACGGTTTTGCTCCATTCAAATAAAGTGTTTCTGTTTGCATGGTTACTCTTGGGATTGCTTGCTGCAATGGTCTGGCCAAACTACTGACTTAAGTTTCCTTCCTGGAAACTGGCAAGTATAGATGAGACATATGGAGTCAACATGTACCTTGCATCATGTCAAGCTGATGGCTTTGCAATAACTACTACCCTTTCTTGTAGCTATGGCTAAGGCTTGTAATTTTTACTGATCCTCCAAAAAGTTATTTTAAGAACCCTGTTGACTTGAATCCATTGTAGAGCCATCTTAGATTGCAAAATCCAGAGTAACTTCCATCTTATATTCATATTTTTGTCCAGCACATAGCTGACAAATAATTATAAGGTGCTTGGACTGTAAAGGAGGTTGATGTAGAATTGGTTGGGAGGCTGTTTTGTCCAAAAGAATATGCGTGTGGAGGGGGGAAAATGAAAGGGATGGTTGAGGAGTCTCCATTTATATTTTTAGGTAAGTCTGCCCCTGTAGTTCCTTTCAGCATGTAAGTATTATTCTTGTCAGTGGAGAATGGAAAGGTGGATCTTCCCAGGTTCTAATCTTCAGTGCAAAATATGAAAAATATAGCAACCTTTTCTCTCTATTCCTGTTTTTTTTTTTTTACCCAGGGGAATGGTGACAAGGAGACCATATCGAAGCATTTCTGGAGATAACCTGCCAATATTTGTATGTGTGTTGCAGTGTAAAACAGTTGAACTTGTATAACCTGCCCTGAGATTTAATAATGTTACTGCGTGTCTGGAATAGTTTTGCTGGCACTTAATTGCAAACATGTGTGGTAATTACAGCTGTGGCTTGATGCCAAGATAGTTATGCCCTGATTCTTGCATTTTGACTTTGCATATTATACTAGCCGAGACTGTTCTGATATCCTGAAACATGCACATGACTCCATTCCTATTCCTTAGAGGTGCTTCCCTTAGTAATGGACCAACAGAAACAATCTTTTGCATGGTGTTATATAATCACAGTTTTATCCCTGAAGGAATTACTGTCCTTTTCTCCATCATTCAGCTACTGTACTGTAAATATATGAAATAGAAACTGTTTCTATCACTCAATGTCAACAAGCATTTTCTTGCTGATAGCACGTCTGATCTTTTTCCTAAGTATATATCTGAATACTGAGTTACATGAGTGATTCTAATGGATTTTTTCCAGTCCCTTCCCACCAAAACCCCACTGCCTTCCTCCAAGATCAGACAAAGTTCAAAGAAAGGCCTAAGATATAGTGCAGAGGTATTGCCCAATATCAACATGAAGGCAGCTAATGAATGCCACACCCCATGCCTTGCCCAAGAGTCCCCAGGCATGGTCCTTGTGGAATTCACATAGCCGATTCATCATTTGTTGAAAGTGCTGCCCTCATGGGATTGTTGTTGATGGGATGAAATGATCCTCAGTTACACTACCATGAGCTTTCAGAAAAAAGGTGGTTGTAATTACAATAAAGATGTGGCTGTCTCATGAGATTTGAGTCATTTTTATTGTATTATTTATTTTATTTGTGAGCTGCCTAGAGCCATTTACATAGTGAGATGGGCAGTGTATAAATTTGATTTATAAATAAATAAATAAATTTTAAAATATTTAGTTTGTGGGTTCAATGAATGCTATGCAATGTGCTGCAAGTGCTTTTCTATCTGTGTTGCTCAACCTGCACCTTACCAAGAATGCTTTATATTGACTTCTTGACTGAGCCAGTGAACGCAACCAGCTGTCTGTTGCCCACTATCTAGTCTTCAAATGGGGTGTATTTGAAGCCGCTATAATATATTTCCTCATCCTTTTTCTCCCAGTTATTTGTGTAAGTAACAGAAATCTAACGATGGAATGTTTCCATTTTTGTTGTTATAGGTCATCTGTATGGGTGCAAAACAGAATGGATTGCCAATGGATTATCAAAAGAAATTAGACTCTATAGAGACTAACAATTATGCAGGACGTGTGCCAGTGTTTGAGGAGATTGAAGCTGCTTTCAATGCATCAGAGAAACAAAATAATGAAGATCTATTTTAGTGTAACTTATTTTAATTCTCTTGAGTATCCTGTGTGACTATTTCTCTTATATTACAGTAGCCTAGATATATTTTAACATGGTCAAAATGACTGGTGAATGCCACATACAACATAAGGTGTAAGATGATCCTTGATTATTAATTCACTGATACAAAATCCATTGTTCTCCTTCAGATTTTTCTGTTTCTGTATTCTCTGCAATAAACTGAGACTGGGAATAGTTTCCAAATTGTGCTTTCATCTGAAAGTTTCTGCACCAGTTCAGTCCAACTACTGAAAAGAGACAAGTGCTGGTTGTCTCTTGGATATTACAGGCAGTCTTCACTTAACAACCATTCATTCAGCAACCATTCAAAGTTACAACAGTGCTGAATAAATAGTAGTAATGACCAGTCCTTGAAGTTACAGTTGTTGCAGCGCCCCTGCAGTCATATGATCAAAATTTGAGCGCTCGGCAATCTGCCTGCATTTACAACTGCAGCATGCACTTCAACTCCCCCTCTTGCTTATCCTTCGCCCCTCATTGGAGAAGGTCACCTGCAGGTGACAGGAGTAGATGGCAGAGTGCAGGGCAGAGATGGGGGGAGAGTTGAAGCAGGGGTGAGCACGGCAGGGTAGAAGCGTGAGGTCCTTGCCTAACAAGTACAACCAGGACTACCAGAATTGCCATTGCTAAGTGGTATAGTCATGTGATGTTTCACCAAATGACTGGTTTGCTTAGTGATGGAAATTCTGGTCCCAACTAGGGCTGTTAATCGAATACTACCTATATGTTAACTTCCTTTTGATAGACAGCTGGTATCCCAGCCTCTAGTCATCAACCCTCACCCCAACCTTTTTAAAAAGCTGATTTAATCACAACTCACTTTTTTGCATTTTAAAAAAATACATTGCTGTTCTGGGAATTGTTTCTAGCCTTGTAAAAATACTGTATATACAGTGGGGCAAAAAAGTATTTAGTCAGCCACCAATTGTGCAAGTTCTCCCACTTAAAACGATGAGAGAGGCCTGTAATTTTCATCATAGGTATACCTCAACTATGAGAGATGAACTTTTGATATTGACCAAATACTTATTTTCCACCATGATTTGCAAATAAATTCTTTAAAAATCAGACAATGTGATTTTCTGGATTTTTCCCCCCATTTTGTCTCTCATAGTTGAGGTATACCTAGAGATGAACTTTTGATATTGACCAAATACTTATTTTCCACCATGATTTGCAAATAAATTCTTTAAAAATCAGACAATGTGATTTTCTGGATTTTTCCCCCCATTTTGTCTCTCATAGTTGAGGTATACCTAGAGATGAACTTTTGATATTGACCAAATACTTATTTTCCACCATGATTTGCAAATAAATTCTTTAAAAATCAGACAATGTGATTTTCTGGATTTTTCCCCCCATTTTGTCTCTCATAGTTGAGGTATACCTAGAGATGAACTTTTGATATTGACCAAATACTTATTTTCCACCATGATTTGCAAATAAATTCTTTAAAAATCAGACAATGTGATTTTCTGGATTTTTCCCCCCATTTTGTCTCTCATAGTTGAGGTATACCTAGAGATGAACTTTTGATATTGACCAAATACTTATTTTCCACCATGATTTGCAAATAAATTCTTTAAAAATCAGACAATGTGATTTTCTGGATTTTTCCCCCCATTTTGTCTCTCATAGTTGAGGTATACCTAGAGATGAACTTTTGATATTGACCAAATACTTATTTTCCACCATGATTTGCAAATAAATTCTTTAAAAATCAGACAATGTGATTTTCTGGATTTTTCCCCCCATTTTGTCTCTCATAGTTGAGGTATACCTAGAGATGAACTTTTGATATTGACCAAATACTTATTTTCCACCATGATTTGCAAATAAATTCTTTAAAAATCAGACAATGTGATTTTCTGGATTTTTCCCCCCATTTTGTCTCTCATAGTTGAGGTATACCTATGATGAAAATTACAGGCCTCTCTCATCGTTTTAAGTGGGAGAACTTGCACAATTGGTGGCTGACTAAATACTTTTTTGCCCCACTGTATACTATTAATAAACCCATGAAAATCCTTTTCCATCATGTCAAAGATGTCCCTATGTTCTGAGAAGGAACTGTAAGAAAAAAGCTATTTAATATAACTGCAGTGCCTAACAAGATGAATCACAAATGTGTTATCTTTTTATAGAGGACAGTTGCAGGAAGGTCTTGTGCACATGGGAGAAAGATGTCCAACAATGTGGATCTGTCCTGTGTTAAAAAAAAAAAAAAAGCAACTAATTCTCACCCGTTCACTTTGAAGAGCCTTTCGAACTAGT